AGAAGTAGACACTTTGTGCATCCAAAGCATATTCTGGGATAATGTTTGTCATAATAAATGGCTTTTTTAAAAAAATGTATTTTAAATAAATATATATTATATATATATATAACAATAAGTCTTTATATGAGTGCTGCCAAGAGAAAAGGGCTACTTTAGACTTTTTAAATTTTTTTTTGATCAAAGATAACTCAACAACTAATTGATTAAGATTAATGATGATTTTTTTTATTTGAATTCTACAAATCTGTAAAATTCAAATAAAAAAATTATTATCAATTTTGATCAAGTAGTTGTTGAGATATTTTTGATCAAAAAAAAATTCAAAAAGTCTAAAGTAGCCCTTTTCCTTTGGCAGCACTCATATAGTATATAATAATATAATATTAGTTGATATACATTCGTCAACAAAAGTAATATTAAAGAAATCGGCAATCAGAATCAAAATCATCACTTGCAGGAAACTTATTATACAGTAAATTTAAGTTCTAGATGTTATAATAAATATGCTTTAAATTGTATATGATTCAAAATTTTACAACAACTAGTGGAATTGCATGATATCAGTTTTTTGACTGCAACATTTTTCTGCCACCAAAATGAGTGTTCTTTACCGGTGACCCACTAATACTGTTGAGACTTAAAAAAATTGATTACTGCTCAAACTGGTACTTGATGCTTCAAAAGATCATTTTAAAAAAATGGAGGAAACAAAATCATATAGCAGTGCTTGACTTAGAAGTTATCGTTTAGCTGTCATGATGCCTTGATTTTAATTTAAAATTAAGTGAATTAACTTATCTTTTATTATTTTAAAATCAAAATTGTGCTTTGCCAATTCTGAGTTTATTTTTTAAAATAAAATAAAAAACATTAAATCAATTAAATAAATTAAATATGATAATTATTAAATTATTGAAAAAGAATATAAACTTACAATATTTTAACAATATTTGATGATTATTTTGTTGAAATTCAAATGAAGAAAAATCATTAGATCTTCTTATGTAATCTGTCCCAAATTATTACATAAATTGAAAAGGAAAATTTACTGAGTTATATGAGAGTAATAGATTATATTTAAGGTTATATTCTAAATACTCTCTAATACATTAAGTAGGCTAAAGTGAAGTGATTGATTTTGAAATTTTCTTCACATTTCGAGTCAATTGGTAAAATTCACTATATCAAGTGGAGGGTTTATATGATCTGTTTATTATAACAAGAGCGATTGCAAAATATCAATTATGTGAATGGACATTTTTTGAGTTACGGCCCAAATCAATCTTAATTCGGGTCACTACTAAAATATCTTAACGCCACAATTAGGATTGTAATTTTACGTAATTTTGTGTAATTTTGCGTAAGTTTACAGAACATGGTTTTCATGTAATTTGTAATTCACATGATTTGCACTTTCTGAGATCAAAATTTTTGGTGATTGAAGAGTTACAAATCAAATAAATCAAATAATGCAATAATGCTTTTGTAAAGCTGGTACGAAAATAATATTTTAGATGAAGCTAGTCAATCTTTACAAGTATGAAAATCTTTAATATAAGCTTTAATTCGATATGTCAACATCTAAAATATTCACTTTTATTTACTAAATTGTAATCAGGCAAGAATCTGTATTGGTAGGACTTATCTTTAAAAAAATTAATTCCTTATAGGAATTCATAACAAACATATTTTATTATTTATTTGTCAGCTTTAATTCTTTATTTTGTAATATTGATAGTTTTCTGACCAATTACACATGCATAGTAAAAAATGAACACTCTACCGAGTGACTGCCTGCGCGAAATATGAAACAGGAAGGCCCACTAAACCTGTCTATTTATCAGATGATGATGATATGAATATTTCACAAATTATTAATTGATTAGCGTTAGACTCAGTAAAAGCAAGGTCTTTAAATATTACTGGCCCACGAGAAACCAATTGTTCTGGAATTCAAGTACTCACAAAAAATTTCTTTTTAATTTTTTTTTTTAAATTCAATGAATACCTATTTATTTGACAAATATAAGAATCATAATAAAATCAATCATATGGGATCTTTGCTAGGATTTTTTTTTTCTAAAAATAGATTTATTATGTTTTTCTTAATAAAAATCTTGTGTAACAATGGCTCGTAAGGTCATTTTGCTAGCAAAGATCCCATATGATCAATCATGTATCGAATATGTCTGAATTTCGAACAATACCAATACCAACAAAACAAAATAAATAAAGTAAAGAAATTAATTGGGATAATTATTTTTTTACAACTTTATAAGAAAAATTTAAATTGGTTGGCAATTAATAAGCCAATTACCAGTGATACAGAATCGATTGAAATAACATTTCAAAAATAAATTTCATTGAATTCAGAAAAACGAGCAAAAAAAAGCTCAATATAAAGTTCTGAAGTTACAGTTTAATATGACAATTTATTTTAATTTTAGTTCACGCATCTATTATAATGATCCAAAAATTAAGGATATCAGCTTTTTGATGGTCGTCACAGACTTTTTAATCGATGTGTGGATTTTCATTTCTTGATTACTCTCCTTAAGACAAAAGGCTTGTTCGGTTAGTAGAAATATAAAAAGCTATTCTAAAAACGTTAATCATGTCTCTTCAATAAAACAGCTCTGAATCTCATAACACTATCACAAAGCTCTGAGGAAACGAACCAGATTCAGCCGAGCGAGTCTAGACATTCGCCATGTAACTATGTTAACTTACGTTGATGTTGCACAACCAACACCTACATGATAGCATCATGAGTTTATGTGCAAGACGCCCATTCGAAAGAAGGACCGAGCTAGCGTACAAATGCGAATAGGTTAAACTTGAACCACGAGGGGTTCAAACTACGCCATGTAACCCAAGTACCACAGACGTAGAGATATTAAAACAAAAACATTTTGATATATAAATTTTTTTGAAATATACACAGTTGTAATTTTTTTAATATAATATAACGTGCCTATTACTATGTGCAGTAAACTTGTATTTAACCGGTTTTCAATAGAACAGAAAAATTATATTTCAGTATTCACAATAAAGCTGGCTACCAGTTACGGTTATTCTATATTATTTATTATTATCATTGTTACATAAATTATCTGATTTATATGATAATCTCCGATTAAAAATTTGAACGAAATTAAAATTATATGATTTTTCATTTGCAAATAAATTTCATTAAATTTAAAATTTGTAATAAAAAATCAAACAATAAATAAATTATTTGGGTAATTTTTAATATCGTTATGTAGTGTACACTTTATAAAATGCAATTATGTATAGAATGCAGACATCAAAAACTGTGTTTCCTTTAGTCATATGTATTCGAAGTTGGAATTGGAAAATCTAAGATTGAAGAACAAACTCAAAAATGCGTGTAGTATGGTAAAAATTATAATATTTTTTTTGTAAGATATTTTTATTATATATATTTTTTTAATTAGTTAATGATGTATTAACCAATAATTATATTCCAGCGAATCAATTGGAAGATATGAGTATATAGAATTATTAAATTAAATAGTATAGAATATGTAAACTGATTTTTAATGGATTTAAAAAGGTGCATTGAGTAGAGTTATTAAAAGAGAAAAAAAATCCAAATACAACCGACGAGAATGTGCCGGCATTCGCTCAAGGTCTTGAAGTAGTGATCCAGTTTTTAACTTGAATAGTACAAACGTATAATAAATAGTATTGGACACAAAGATTCAAAAAACCACTTTCATATCATATATAAAAACAAAAATACAGTATATTCAATTACTATTTACACTTGTTCACGTCTTTTTTATTATTGCAATATTCTAAAAGTTTTCTTTCGCTCTCAATACACGAATAACAAAATTTATCATCTTTTTTCACAAAAGACAGATTAAATTCACTTTTACAATTCAATTTACTTTTTCTGTACAAGTAAGATGACCTTCCCTCCCATCTTCTATCAGGTAATTCAATTAAAAAAATAAACAAAAATTTCTAAAATCTTTTTATTATATCGTTCCGGATATTTTCCACTAGTACAATATGAGTATATATGACTGAAAATATAAGGTTCATAATCGACATTGATTCCAGCCTGGATTTTGTTGACTCCCCCCAAATGTTATGATGGTGCAGTGAACCATCAAAATTTGTTTTGATCTTCAGGATGATCATGTAATCTTGCAAATTTTATAAATACATCACTTCGTTTGACTGTGATTGATCAACATAGTAAATATAAATTTTGAAGATATATTCCCACTTTCGAATGAATTTTTTTCTGCTATAAAATTACTTGAAAGCGAGTGCACTGGTGACTTAGAAATGATTTTTTTTGAAAAAAATGGAAAGGTTACGGTTACTAGGAACATTACACGGCTTATTAAAAATACTGATAACAAAAAAAGGTCAACACGATCAAATAGAATTACTCGAAGTTTCCAAATAAACAAATTTAAAGCAGATTCAAGCTTCGAAAAAATGGAAAAACTGAAAACTAAAATTATGGTGCGACTTACAATTAAAGATGCATAATTGAATTATTGCGATACATATATTGCTATATGTTGCTTATATAAAGTTTCCTGTTGTATTATTTAGGAACAGCAAAACGAAATATCTTTAATTAGAAATGAGCTTGAGAAGTATAAGTATGGCGTAATCACGGTCAGTACATTATGTATTATACGAAAGTCAATAATAATTAATAATTTGATTTAATCGTTCACTTTGTTTATCTTTATTAGGAAGTTTCAATATGTTCAAATGAAATGGTAAATTAATTAAACTTTAATAAATTTATTCTTAAATATATTCTATCTATATTCTTATACTTAAACAGAAAAATTCCAGTGACAACTGTTGCTCTAATGATGTGTCAACTGAAGATAACAAAGAAATAGCAGGATGTTACGTATTTCAAGAGATGATAAAAGAAATGGGAGATAAAGATTTCAATCCAGAACAAATCTGGGAATTTATAAATAACAGGCTTGAATATATTTTTGGGCATAATAAGAAACTTAAAGATCCGGGAGAGCAAGATAAAAACAAATATTTATCGTTGATAAATTATTTGCAAGATTGGAACGATAGATTACACATGAATTTTCCCGTAATCGTATGGAAAAAGAAAGCTGAAGATTCTTTTGGTAATATTTTTATTTCTTTTTTTTTGTATCATATTAAACATAATTATTAATAATAAAACATGATTATAATTTTTTCGAAGAATCTCCAAGAGTTCCATACAATTCATCAATTTCTAGAAGCTGCTGTGCGTGATATTCCTGGGCTGTCTGTTTACTCGTAAGCAAGAAAAACTATTTTAATTTATAATAAAATTCTTGATAATCTAACATTTTTATATTTTAGCACATGTGCTACTCTTTCGAACACCTTGGAAATGATGAAAATTGTAAACCAAACAGAACTGTAAGATTAAAACTTGAAGACAACCAGTTCAAAATTCTATATGTAGAAGGTGCAAACCCAGAATTGAAAGGAAAAAAATAACAAGAAGATGCAGAAAAACTTCAGCAACTTATAAAACTAAATCTTGATGAACTTCTAAGGGATTTTCAGCATACATATTGCAATAAAATAAATGAGGACATTGCAAAAAAAATTTACAATACTCCTCTTATTACAATTCAATCTACTCGTAGATATTATTATTATTATTATTGATTATTCCCCAATTAATTTATATTAGATAATTAATAATTTTACTCATTAAAATAAATATTTTTAGAAACATCATTAATTTCGACAATTAGCGACCGAAGAGCCCACCCATTGATATGTACTACTACTTTCCATAACATCAAAATACCATTCCCAACCAAAGATCACGTTCTACAGCTGTCCAGAGGGTTGAGATTAATTTCAATGATGTGGGAAATTCGAAATGTTTTAAAAATTGTTATTAATAATTGGAGGAACATTTTAGATAGCATGGAAGAAATAACAATTATGCCAGCAGAACAGCGAGTAAAAATTGATAAAAATATTTCTCAATTTAGAAACTTCATTCCCAGGCACTATCAACCAATACAATACTCTTATAATTAAATGATCAGATTTTATTTTTTGTATTAATGCCTACAATAAAAATCAAAAAATAGCTATTGATATTTATCTTAGTTACTTAATATTGTTTATTTTATTTACAAACTTGGCAGAAACTTGAATTTTTGCTATTTATTATTATCATATTATAGTTATATAGCTATCATATGACAAAAATATGATAAAAAAATATTTTAATAAAAAAATATAATAAATACAGACAAACCTCTCTATAGTCACCTTCTATATAAGCACATATTCTTTATAAGCTTTTTTTTTAAAAAAAACAATCTATTATTAAATATAATAAATTTGATCTCTATAATTGTCACAATTCTTTACAATTACACTGTTTTGTATCCCAAGTGTGTGATTATAGAGAGGTTTGACTATATATGATAAACATATTACAAACATATTACAGACATATGATAAAAATACTTTGCTAAAATCTTAAATTTTTGCGAAAGGGACAAAATATCCTATATTTAGTGCAAATTATTAATAATATAGGGCTCTAAGAGGAAATTTTCATAGCAAAGCTCTAATTTAGGCAAATTTAGTTTCTTACTAGCACTATTAACGAGGTTTTGACGAGGCTTTTTGACTGAGTATGAAAATTTTCTATTTTTTTATACTCAGTCCAAAAGTCTTGTCAATACCTCGTTAATAGTGCTAGTAAGAAACTAAATTTGCCTAAATTAGCGCTTTGCTATGAAAATTTACTCTTAGAGCTCTATATTATTAATAATTTACACTAAATATAGGATATTTTGTCCCTTTCGCAAAAATTTAAGATTTTAGCAAAGTATATTAAAAATATTTTAAACCTGTTAAGTTGCTATTAACACTATAATTTTCATATAATAATTATATAACCATCATATAATTATCATATAACTATCATATTTTTTTTATTAAAATATTTTTATCATATTTTTATTATATAATAGCTATATAACTATCATATGATAATCATAAATGGAAAAAAATCATGTTTCTACCAAGAAAATAAAAAATAAAAATATATGCAAAAAAAATAATAATAAATTATAATTTAAAATAGGATTTTGCTATTTATCACCACTGGTGATCATCTCCAGTGTTGCTATATCTCAAAAATGTATTAAGTAAACGGGATCGGGTATTCTAAGCAAAAATGTTCAGAACCCTGAAAACTTCACAAAAACTAAGATCGGGACCTTATATTAGCTCTATATTATATTATATAATAAACAAATAATTCTCTAATTTCTAACTCTAACCCTAACAAATATTAGAACTAGTGATGATCACCAGTAGTGATAAGTAGTAATTTTCTTTAAAATATATACAAGTTAAAATAAAAGAAATATATAATAAAAGTATGATATTTATGATTCTAAATTTGTTAGAACTTTCATTCTGTCCTATAATTTCAATTCGCCAAGTCAACTCTTCATTACATTGAGTTGATACGATTCGTTTACTCTCGACAAATTGAATCAAATCTAAACTCAAATACAGTTCATCTGTAAGGATAAGATTGAATTCGGACAATTCCACTCTATCTAATGATTTCTGCGTAAAATTATTCTTTGATGGGGCTATTAAGATACTGATAGTTTCTCATTTTACCGAATCTTGACAATACACTTTCAAACTCACACACCATCTTAGGCCTAATTTTATCACAATCCTTATCGTTATAAAATAAAAAAAAAAACATTTAATATCATAAAATAAATTATATTAGATTATATGCCTTTGGGGTGTGTATAGTAATGATCATCAATCAATTTTTTTTATAATTAGTGATAGTGACATTAAAAAAACACAATAAGAGAAGACTAATGCTAATAAATGTATTTTATTTATTAGTTCAAGAGACATCGTAATTTAACTATCGCTAATTATAAAAAAAAAAAAAAAAAAAATTGATTAATGATCATTACTATCGCTAATTATAATAAAAATTGATTAATTATCATTACTATATCACCTGCTATACCTTGCATTGAACGATTATTGTATATCCTCTCCAGCCTCCTATCCAATCAATACCTCCATCGCCTGGTGCGTGTCTATCAGAATAACAAATAAAAAAAAATTGAGCATTTATCTTCATTATCGTCTAGAATCAAGAAGAACGTTCACAATCATATTTGATTAGGCCACGAAGAGCTTTCAATTCTCGATTCATGTATCCTATTCACCACAGCTCTAGAGAAACTCCATAAATGACTTTCGATAACATGAGAAGAACGTTCATAACCATGTTGACCACATAATTATGGCCACAATGAGCTTTCATTCTCATGATTTACATTTAGTGGCAGCGCAACTTCAGTTACATAACAACTAGACAATGACTCAGTGAATACTCACTCAAATCTACGTAATTCTATATTCATGTTCATAAAAATAATTCTAATTCTATCTTCAAAACCTTTGCCATTCTTACGCGGTGACCTTTTTCTACTTCTTTTCTCAATACTTTCAAATTCTGGCTCACTTTTTTGAGCAACACCAAAGTTAATAGGAGACATTTTTAAAAAATTAAAAAACTATTACATACTTAACGTTAACTATATCGCTTATCCCTTTTTTCTTTGCATTATTTCGCAAAAAAAACAAGTCTCAAGCATGAATAATAGCTAGAAAAGGTTGTAGATCGATATACGATAAGATTAAAAATCAAAGTTACACAATCCAATCTGTAGGGTGATTGACCATTGACAGACTTATTCAACCTAATCGTGACCCAAATATATTTTTATAGATATACTGTGAGAAAGAAAATATTAAATTTGTCGACTATTGATTTGTATGTAATAATAGAATAAAATAAAAAACTCCTTGCATGGTCACTTAACACGAATTATGTTATTTCAGCATTTGTAATACCTAGACTCGATCTGGCCGTAATTGACAAAATTTTGGTCCGCATTATACATAATTTTAAGCCCAGGAACATTAAAATATTATCACAAGATAAAGATATTTTTTAAGTTTTTACTATATGATTTTTTTAATGCCAGTAACTTTTGAGATTCCACCTTTATATGAAACTAATAGTAATACTGTGCCGTATTTGGCTATAAAATTTCAAATATATTAATCAAAAAATAAAAAAAAAATAGAAAGTTTAAAATAATTTAAATAAATGAAAATTTTTCAATAGGATCATGACAATATTATCATAGTAATGACGTTCATCCAAAATCAAATGCAATATACAGTACTTTGTCTAAAATATCCTAAACCATTTTCGCTTGTTGCAAATTTCAAAACTCACGACTTATTTTAGTTCCGACTTTATACGTATTTCATTTTCATACTCAACATTCATTATACTGTATTTTCGAACAAGCCTTTCTAACTATCGTATAAATATTATCATATACTCCAATCAGCTCATATTAATTACTGTATCAACAACATAATTCACTATATAAAAGAAAGAATTTTACATAAAGTATTAATTTCGCAATGTCGTATTGATTGTACAATATTCAGA